ACAAAGATAATACTAACCAAACATAGCCCAAGCTATTAGCAAAATTACCAAAGTTATCCTAAAGTCGCAACTTTCATCGCTATCAACAAAACGCTCCATTTTATTTATCTACAAATGCTTGGGTAGGATGCATATATGCTAAAAGCTTGACCCAAAACATATTATTCTCACTTGAAGACACATTTAGAGCTTAGGTGTTCTAGGGTTCGGGCATTGGAAGAGCTTGGAGTAAGAGATTGGAATTTTGAAGATATTTGGAGTTCCTTTTTCTTAGTTTTTCGATTCGTCTTCCCTTTCTCTCTTGTAATATGAAATGGGTCCAAATATTTTATGTATTTATAGCTTGTGGATGATTGTGAGTAGCTAAACTCTTTGTTCTAGGATTATTTGAAACTCTTGTATGGATTAACATTAATTTCCTCCTTTCTTTTTGTGATTAATTATATATATGTGTGTGTGTGTGTGTGTGTGTTTATTTTACTATTTTCTCAATGTTTCTAAGTGTTTAGTCACCATTTAGATATTGGGTTCACTTGATTGATGCTTGAGAGGGCTAGGTTGAGTGTAAAACTTGGGTAAAATAGTAGAAGAACTTAATATTTGCATGTTGAATGGATAGTTTTGATAGTAAGATAGAAATATACTTGCTAATCTTGAATAGCCACATCAGGGTTGGTATCTAAAATTGAGTTTTATTAATTGTAACAAGAGATTGGCAATTAATTTAACCAAATAATTATTCATGACTTGAAACAGCTTGTCTAAGTATTTTTAGAACCCTAAGTTAGCACTTGTTTTTCATTAAAAGCATTTACGAGAGGAGATAATTTTGGTTTTAAGAGACACAAAGAGGATAAATAATCCCAGGTTCCATTTTTGTGCTTGAAGTTCATGAATCAGTTACTTTTCTTTATTTTCTAGTGTTAATTTACTTTGCAAAATTAACTTTCTCTTATAATTGTGTGTGGCACAACCTAATTGAATTCACTTAGTCTTTTGTTTGATCATTATTTTTAAACAAATCCTTAAAGGAAGGATACTTTACTCTCATTGTATTACTTGCTATGATTCGTGCACTTACGGAGAGCAACAACAAGTGTCACCTACCACAGTAGATGGCACAAAAGGAGGAATTCCCTTACTATGTATTACGCTGTCATGCACACATGCTGTTATGACAGCAACTGATAGCATTTTGAGACCAACTTCTAAAGTATGTTGTTTCACCATCTGATGTCTAATTCAAGTGATTCAAATGTCCACTTGTAACTTTTTTAGTCACCCATCTATTGGCCTCAGTTTAATAATAAAACTTTTTACCATTTAAAAGATGGACAGCTAAGTGGAAAATAACCCTTTTTCCTTTGAAAACTCGCCCAAGAATGTCCAGACTCTCAAACCAAGTACTAATAGACCAGAGACCACTTAAACCAATTCAAATAGACCATAACATACCTGATTGAAACAAAAAATACATATATAAATATCTCAAGCTCATTTTTGGCCATAAAAACCCCGATTCCACATAAATAAAGGGTGTAGGCATAATTCAACACAACCATAGCACCACTATCCATACATGTTCAATTTCTACAATATTTGCATTTGCACTAATATTTCTGTCTCTTACAAAACTTTCCAATATCATTACAATATCCTAGACTTAAATACATCAAAGTAACATCATTTCATCATGCAAGAACTCTAAAACCATATATGTTCTAAAGTTGGCGTAACATATATATATATATATATATCAATTACACAAAATACCCAAGAAAAGAGTTAGCACACTAGCTCCTCTAATTCTCAATAATGTCCACTTTCCCTTTGTTTTGTTCCTATCAAAGCTTTTACCTGTAAAATATAACCATAGGAGTTGAAACAATATCTCAGTAACTAAATAATTTAATATGTTCACAAGTGTACTAGAATAGCATATGAGTGTGTGAAATGGCAATGTAAAAATAATTTATTGAATACATACAATACACATGATTGTCAAATCACATTCATACAATGCATGATTAACATTCTCTATAATGCCCTCAATGACATTACCATACAACCCTCCACATAAACTACTAATAAAAATAATTAACTTGAAAATTTTGGGATCCTAATATAAAAATATTTCTAAAACCATTTAATAAAATACATGAGTTGTAAAATATTACATAGTGAAAGCAATATGCAATAGCATCTCAAATTCAACTAAAAAACATGTGTAATTCAACCAAATTAAGTCAAGATAGGGGCCATGTGTAACATCCCAATTTAAATTTTAATAGTTAATTTGGATTAATAGAAATTTAAAAAAAAATAATATTTAAAGGTAAATAAATTAGTAGAAAATGATCATTAAATCTAACTTAGGATATAATTCTAAATTAAATTTTTTTTAAAAAAAATTAATTAAAAAAAATATTATTAAATTATTATTATAAAAAAAAGTATGCAAAAAAAAAAAAGAAGAAGAAGAAGAAAACGAATTTGCTTCGTCCGCCGCCTCAACAGTAACAATAATAAAATAATAATAAAAAAAAGAAGAAGAAGAGAGAGAAAATAATTAAAAAAAATGTGGGACCCACTGAATTTTTATAAAAACTCACCTGTTCCTTCATTTCTTCATTCCTTCTTTCGTGCGTGAGCTTCGGCAGAGAGAGCATCTGTGAGCCAAATTCACCGGTGCTGGGTTTTAAGGTAAGAGTTTTTAATAGGATATTTAGGATGTGATTTTAAACTTTTCAAGACTAAGTAAGTGTTCTAAAATTTTTTCTTAGTCATCCTTTTTCTTTTGTTTCTGAGTTTGTAGTGGTAGAAAATTCAAGATCTGGAAGAGGGATGAATTTATGTTGAATAAATATGATTTTTGAGGTTGTCAGTAGTATAATAAATGTTCTAGAGTATAAATTTATTGATGATCTTTGAATCTGTGGCTTATGGATCAAATTTTAAACTAGATCTGAAAATATATGTTGATTTATTGAGGTTTAGATGATTATTTGGGATGAGAAATGAATTATTATGGCTATAGGATTATGATTCTAACTAGAGACTCAATTTTTAATTTTTGGGTATTTTAGGTACGAATTTATAAAATAAAAAGAAAATTTTGATAATAGAAATTAGTTTAAAATTTGATTTTTAGATTATTAATGTTTATTGATAATTAAAAGAGGAGTTAAAAATTATACTTAATAGTATTAACTATAGATTTGTATTAAGATTGAGATTAGGAATTATGTTATATTTTTAATTCTATTATTAGAATTATTTTATTAGTTTCAAAAATTGAAACTAATATTTATAAATAATATGTTATTTGTAGATTGTATTACTGGTGAAGATTGTGGTGAGAGAGAAATTTTAAGGAATAATTTATTGAAAAAGCCACAAGGTAACCATGCTTTTAATTTGTGATTAGTGTTACTTCATGTTAATTGGGTGATTATTGAGAAAATTATGAATTTTGTAATATTGTATAATTGTGCAATATTATTATGAATTTGTTTTTTATTGTGGGAGGTGTTGGGAGACTTGCTATTATTGTTGTATTTATGTGCCACGTGGTATGCCCCTATTGGAGCTCAATAGGTGGTTTGTAAGGGCTCGGGCTAATCTACCTTTGGCCGGGTAATTTAGCACCGAGTGAGGGCTACGGCTCGAGGTTAATGGAGGGATATAAGGATGGTTGTTTGTGTGTATTGTAATATTTCTTATATTTATTGGAATTATATTATTTTTAATTCTCACTTAGTAAGCACACACTTAACTGTTTGTATACACTATCATAAATTGGCTTTGGTTACTGGGACTTTTGAGTCTCATTATGTGGTTAACAATTTTCAGGAGAAGAGCCACGAGTGACACGTGGAGGAGTCCCAGAGGCTTAGTGGTATAGATCCACTGTCTCTTTTGGGTATTTAATTTATGATTTATAATGTGTTATATTGCCAATATTAGGGCTTTTTGTTTATTGTCAATTATATGAATATATAAATGTAATCATGCCTTTCAAACTATTTCTATTTTTGGTACAATTTGGATGACTGTAATTTTAATATTTGGTTTACTTTGGATTGGTTAAAATGGCATGATTATAAGGCCAAATAACTGGCTTGTGTTGAAAATTGACTAAATTGCTTATTTTACTTGTTGGGAGTATAAGGATGGACAAATGTGATTTAGTTTACTTGTTGGGAGTATAAGGATGGACAAATGTGATTTAGCCTAATGGCATGTGGGAGGTAAAAATTTATCTGAAATGTTATAGTGTGTGAGTTGAAGCCAATTATAAAATATTTTATATCGAAATTATTGATATAAAAATGTGTTGGGTGGCTGTAACCCAACTATGGTTGAGTTAAATTATTAAAAAAAAAATTTTGGTGTGTTACAAATTTTGGTATCAGAGCTACATGTTTCCAATTTTTATAAATTATGAAATTGTTATACATTAACCTAGTTTATTGGCAATATACATTATTAAATCATAATGCTTCTCCATTATTTTTCTTGTCTTGAGATTAGTGTTAACTTAATTATGTGACTTCCATCCTTTAGGAGGGGAGAGATGGTGTCTAAAACTAGGAGAGGTGGCGAAATTGCCGGTGATTCTATAGAGCCAATAGGAAATGACATACCTTCACTGCCACAACCAGAGCCCACACAGCAACAAATTGGGCAGGGCGAGCCCATACAGTCACAACTAAGGCAGGATGAGCCAACCATGAGGCAAATGATGGATCTACTATATAATCTTAGTGACCGCATGAAGAGACAAGAAGAAGAATTGGCCGCTTTAAGACAATATAAGGAGAATTCCAACCGAGAGGGAAATGGCCAACAAGAAGGAAGCCATACCAAGGTATTTAATGCGAGCCAATCTGCTGATAAAGGCTCACCTTCTTATTCTCACCATGAGACTAGTTCGAAGAATGTGAGTCTCCACTCTGAGCAACAGACATCCACGATCACAAAGATCTGGAGTACTTTTCGTAAGTTTAATCCTCCTACTTTCGATGGAAATCTTAAGCCAGCGGTGGTTGAAGAATGGATAGATCAATTGGAGAGTATTTTTCGTATGGTTGTGTGCACTTCTAATCAAAAGGTGCAGCTGGCAATATTCCTACTACAGAAGAGTGCTAAGAAATGGTGGGAAACATCAGGACCGAAGGATGATTCCTCTCTTACTTGGGAAGATTTTAAAGCCATATTGTTCGAGAATTATTTTCCTACTGCACTGAGAGCAGAAAAGGAGGCTGAGTTTCATGCATTTCGTCAGGGTGATCTAGATGAGGATGAATTTATTGAACAATTCTCAGAATTATCTAAATACTCTACTTACCTCCAGAAACATGAAGACACGGAGTGGATGGCTGAACGATTACTAGAGAAGGCGAGGCCTGATCTAAGGGAACAGTTAGCCCCTTTTGAGATCAAGACATTCAGTGAGATGTGCAATAAGCTTCGAATAGTTTCTCGGAGGAAGAGAGAGGCTAGATTAGAAGCTGATAGAGAGAGGAGGAAAGAACCTCATGGGAAGCCCCCTATCCACACCAGACCCATTGGTGGAGTAGAGAAGAGGAGCAGTCAAATCTTTGGAGGCTTTAGAAATCAGAAGAAGAAGGGCTACTATCATAAGGGCCAGAGCTACAGAGGGAATCAGAGTGGAAGTCAAGGGTCCTATAGGAGCCCAGCTACCTTTAATCCTACTTCCGGTGCTGCTAGTAATCAAGCATGCAGTAAGTGTGGGAAGTTTCATTCTGGTGATTGTTGGGTTTGTTACATCTGCCAGAAGCCTGGTCATATTGCCCGATTCTGCTATCAAAATCAGAATAGGGGTAATGATCAGAGACCTACAGTACCAGCACGAGTGTATGCCCTCTCTGGGCCAGAGGCTGCTAACAACCCTAATGCTATCCGAGGTATAATCCGAATCCTTGATAATGATGTTTGTGCTTTGTTTGATTCGGGTGCTACACACTCTTTTGTGTCTGATGAATGTATGAAAAGATGTAAATTGCCTGTGTGTACCTTACCTTTTGATGTGAAGATTTCTACTCCTGCTGGTTTGACTGTAAGGACTGCTAAGGCATGTCTAAATGTAGAGGTTGAGTATGAGGGTCGAAAGACCACCATAGACCTCATTTGTTTGTCTTTGTCTGGGATTGATGTTATTGTGGGGATGGATTGGTTGTCTGCAAATGGAGCTGTACTTAATTGTCAGAAAAAGAGTGTGTCACTCTCAGCTCTTACTGTAACCCCTATAGAGTCCCAAAGTCCTATGTTGTTGTCTGCAGCTCAAGTAGAACAGTGTATAAGAAAGGGCTGTCAAGCTTTTATGATTTTCTTCTCAATCAAGGCAGAGATTGAAGAAGGTGTAGATCAGATTCCAGTAGTGAGAGAATTCCCTGACGTCTTTCCTACTGAAGTGATCGGTTTGCCTCCAGAACGAGAGGTTGAGTTCTCAATTGAGCTCGTACCTGGTACGGGGCCTATTTCTAAGGCACCCTATAGGATGTCTCCATCGGAGTTAGCTGAGTTGAAGAGACAAATTGAAGAGTTGTTAGAGAAGGGGTTTATCAGACCGAGTGTATCGCCATGGGGGTCACCGGTACTGTTTGTGAAAAAGAAAGATGGAAGCCTTAGATTGTGTATTGATTATAGACAATTGAATAAGGTAACCATCAAGAACAAGTACCCCTTACCTCGAATTGATGATTTGTTAGACCAATTAGTCAATTCAGCAGTGTTTTTTAAGATTGATCTAAGATCAGGGTATCATCAATTGAGGGTTAGAGCAGAGGATATCCCTAAAACTGCTTTTAGGACTAGATATGGGCACTATGAGTTCCTAGTGATGCCGTTTGGGTTAACAAATGCCCCAGCTGTCTTCATGGATTATATGAATCGAATCTTCAGGCCTTATCTCGATGAATTTGTTGTAGTCTTTATTGATGACATACTTATTTATTCTCGAGATGAGGTGGACCATGCTAGACATCTTAAAATTGTTTTGGAGATATTAAGAGAGCACAAGCTCTATGCCAAGTTGAGCAAATGTGATTTTTGGCTTAAAGAAGTTAAATTCTTAGGCCATGTTGTTTCAGAAGAAGGGGTAGCAGTGGACCCTAGTAAGATAGATGAGTGATGAAATGGGAGCAACCTCAAAGTGTGACAGAGATTAGGAGTTTCTTGGGTCTTGCAGGCTACTATCGTCGTTTCATTAAGGGTTTTTCACAAATTGCAATGCCCTTGACTAAGTTGACCAGGAAAGATGCTCCATTTATTTGGACAAACGAGTGTGAAATTGCATTCCAGGAGCTGAAAAAGAGGTTGACCACCACACCGGTGCTCACCTTACCTGTTCCAACTGCTCCTTATACCTTGTATACTGATGCTTCTAAGAAAGGTTTAGGTTGTGTATTGATGCAGGAGGATTGAGTAGTGGCTTATGCCTCTCGACAGTTGAGACCTCATGAGGAAAATTACCCTACTCATGACTTGGAGCTTGCTGCTGTGGTATTTGCCTTGAAGATTTGGAGGCACTATCTTTATGGTTCTTCTTTTGAAGTCTTCAGTGATCATAAAAGTTTAAAATATTTGTTTGATCAAAAGGAGCTCAACATGAGACAGCACAGATGGATTGAGTTTTTGAAGGATTATGACTTTGAGTTGAAGTATCATCCAGGGAAAGCTAACGTAGTCGCCGACGCTCTGAGCAGGAAGCTTGTACATACTGCTCACATGATGGTCAGAGAACATGAATTATGGAGTAGTTTTCATGCAGTAAATGTAGAAGTAGTCGAAAATTGTTTGGCTGCTCTACATATTACTGAATTTGAGAATAATTTTTGGGAAGAAATCAGAATTTCGCAGCAGAAGGACGATTATTTGAATAAGATTAGGGTAGAGATTGGGGCTGGAAAGGCTGAACATTTTGATGTGACCGATGATGATGTCGTAAGATATAAAGGTAGAGTATGTGTGCCTAATGATACTCGATTGAAAAATATCTTACTTGAGGAGGCTCATCAAAGTAAATATACCATTCACCCAGGAGCAACTAAGATGTATCATGACTTAAGACGTGGTTGGTGGTGGCCAAGGATGAAAGAGATGTAACTGAACATGTAACTCGTTGTTTGACTTGTCAGAAAGTCAAAATTGAGCATCAGAAACCAGCCGGGATGCTACAGTCTCTTGATATTCCAGAGTGGAAATGGGACAGCATTTCTATGGACTTCATTACAGGATTGCCTAGAACATCTTCTGGTCATGACACTATATGGGTAATCGTAGATGACTCACCAAATCAGCTCATTTTCTGGCTACTAATATCAAGTATTCTCTCGAAAAATTAACTGAAATCTACATAAGAGAAGTGGTGAGATTGCATGGAGTGCCGACAAATATTGTATCTGATCGTGATCCGAGATTCACATCAAACTTTTGGAAGTCATTACAGGAAGCCATGGGTACTCGTCTGAGTTTTAGCACAGCTTACCACCCCCAGACCGATGGGCAAACGGAACGAACCATACAAACTCTTGAAGACATGTTAAGAGCTTGTGCCATTGAGCTTAGAGGTAATTGGGATAGTCACTTACCATTAGCTGAATTTGCCTACAATAATAGTTTTCATTCTAGCATTCAGATGGCACCTTATGAGGCATTGTATGGAAGAAAATGTAGATCGCCACTGTGTTGGACAGAATTAAGTGAGAGAACTGTTTTGGGGCCGGACATTGTTGATGAGACTACCCAAAAGATTGCTTTAATCAAGCAAAAATTACTCACAGCTTCAAAGTAGACAAAAGAGTTATGCGGATAAGAGGAGAAGACCGCTTGAGTTTGAAGTAGGTGACATGTATTTTTGAAAATCTCTCCAGTAACTGGTGTTGGAAGAGCTATTAAGGCTAAGAAGTTGACACCAAGGTTTATGGGGCCTTTTGAGATCTTAAAACGAGTTGGACCAGTAGCGTACCAAGTAGCATTACCACCCCAAATTGCTGGTATACACAATGTATTCCATGTGTCACAACTGAAAAAGTATCAACCAGATCCTTCCCATATAATTGAACCCGAGGAAATTGAACTCAGGGAGAATTTGACATTCAGAGCTGAACCAGAAAGGATTATGGATTATAAGGACAAGCAATTAAGAAATAAGACCATTAGATTGGTTAAAGTAATCTGGAAGAGCACAACTCCAGGTGATGTTACGTGGGAGACCGAGGACAGTATGCGACGTGATTATCCTCATCTTTTTGATTAAGTGAGTAGTTAATAGTTATTAATTTTAAATTTTGGGGACAAAATTTCTAAAAGGAGGGGAGAATTGTAACATCCCAATTTAAATTTTAATAGTTAATTTGGGATTAATAGAAATTTAAAAAAAATAATATTTAAAGGTAAATAACTTAGTAGAAAATGATCATTAAATCTAACTTAGGATATAATTCTAAATTAAATTTTTTTAAAAAAAATTAATTAAAAAAATATTATTAAATTATTATTATAAAAAAAAGGTATGCAAAAAAAAAGGAAGAAGAAGAAGAAAACGAATTTGCTTCGTCCGCCGCCTCAACAGTAACAATAATAAAATAATAATAAAAAAAAAAGAAGAAGAAGAGAGAGAAAATAATTAAAAAAAATGTGGGACCCACTGAATTTTTATAAAAACTCACCTGTTCCTTCATTTCTTCATTCCTTCTTTCGTGCGTGAGCTTCGGCAGAGAGAGCATCTGTGAGCCAAATTCACCGGTGCTGGGTTTTAAGGTAAGAGTTTTTAATAGGATATTTAGGATGTGATTTTAAACTTTTCAAGACTAAGTAAGTGTTCTAAAATTTTTTCTTAGTCATCCTTTTTCTTTTGTTTCTGAGTTTGTAGTGGTAGAAAATTCAAGATCTGGAAGAGGGATGAATTTATGTTGAATAAATATGATTTTTGAGGTTGTCAGTAGTATAATAAATGTTCTAGAGTATAAATTTATTGATGATCTTTGAATCTGTGGCTTATGGATCAAATTTTAAACTAGATCTGAAAATATATGTTGATTTATTGAGGTTTAGATGATTATTTGGGATGAGAAATGAATTATTATGGCTATAGGATTATGATTCTAAACTAGAGACTCAATTTTTAATTTTTGGGTATTTTAGGTACGAATTTATAAAATAAAAAGAAAATTTTGATAATAGAAATTAGTTTAAAATTTGATTTTTAGATTATTAATGTTTATTGATAATTAAAAGAGGAGTTAAAAATTATACTTAATAGTATTAACTATAGATTTGTATTAAGATTGAGATTAGGAATTATGTTATATTTTTAATTCTATTATTAGAATTATTTTATTAGTTTCAAAAATTGAAACTAATATTTATAAATAATATGTTATTTGTAGATTGTATTACTGGTGAAGATTGTGGTGAGAGAGAAATTTTAAGGAATAATTTATTGAAAAAGCCACAAGGTAACCATGCTTTTAATTTGTGATTAGTGTTACTTCATGTTAATTGGGTGATTATTGAGAAAATTATGAATTTTGTAATATTGTATAATTGTGCAATATTATTATGAATTTGTTTATTTATTGTGGGAGGTGTTGGGAGACTTGCTATTATTGTTGTATTTATGTGCCACGTGGTATGCCCCTATTGGAGCTCAATAGGTGGTTTGTAAGGGCTCGGGCTAATCTACCTTTGGCCGGGTAATTTAGCACCGAGTGAGGGCTACGGCTCGAGGTTAATGGAGGGATATAAGGATGGTTGTTTGTGTGTATTGTATTATTTCTTATATTTATTGGAATTATATTATTTTTAATTCTCACTTAGTAAACACACACTTAACTGTTTGTATACACTATCATAAATTGGCTTTGGTTACTGGGACTTTTGAGTCTCATTATGTGGTTAACAATTTTCAGGAGAAGAGCCACGAGTGACACGTGGAGGAGTCCCAGAGACTTAGTGGTATAGATCCACTGTCTCTTTTGGGTATTTAATTTATGATTTATAATGTGTTATATTGCCAATATTAGGGCTTTTTGTTTATTGTCAATTATATGAATATATAAATGTAATCATGCCTTTCAAACTATTTCTATTTTTGGTACAATTTGGATGACTGTAATTTTAATATTTGGTTTACTTTGGATTGGTTAAAATGGCCTGATTATAAGGCCAAATAACTGGCTTGTGTTGAAAATTGACTAAATTGCTTATTTTACTTGTTGGGAGTATAAGGATGGACAAATGTGATTTAGTTTACTTGTTGGGAGTATAAGGATGGACAAATGTGATTTAGCCTAATGGCATGTGGGAGGTAAAAATTTATCTGAAATGTTATAGTGTGTGAGTTGAAGCCAATTATAAAATATTTTATATCGAAATTATTGATATAAAAATGTGTTGGGTGGCTGTAACCCAACTATGGTTGAGTTAAATTATTAAAAAAAAAATTTGGTGTGTTACACCATGCACCGTGGCTCATGCCACATGTGCTACGGCACGCGGCACAGAGACCTTAGCGTCACTCTCTATGTCATATGTCATGGCATGTAATCCTTTGTTGACACATGTGCCATGACACATATATTAAAATTTGCTGTCAAATTTCATATTCTTATACAAACTTTATAGGTGTACTATTTTCACATTGACATTTGATTGGGGTGATTTAAGCTCCCACACGAAGCTTATTTCAAAATCTAACTAATGACATTCATTTCAATTCGATATCTCTTTTAAAGTTGGACACCCAAGTGCATTTTAACTGTTTTAAGTCAAAATTTGCCACTCAAGTATCACCATTTGAAGCTATATGTCATTAGCTAATTTTTAGCCTTAACCATGTCCAATTAGATAATATATACTTGATTGACCAATTATATACACAATAAAACATGCATACACACAATTGGCTTGTAAATTGCCCATTACACATAACTTGGACATTCCCAATTTCCAATCTCATTCATACACATAGCCAATTTCTCATACATATCCTATATTCACCATATCCACACACATTATCATCCATCCACTAGCCCATATCATCATTTCATTATATACAGTCATATACACAGGGCTAAGGAATCAAAACATCAAAAACCACTAAATCTACCGTGAAATGCCCATGTTTTCTATGACAACTTATATACACATTTACCACTACTTATACACAAATTCATTACACCAATTTTTACAAGACTTTATTGAGAAATATCTATTCTCAGCCCAGTTTCTTCCCTTTTGCACCACTGCCACCAGAACTTAAAAAATGTAAATAACCATGGGTAAGATCAAAATCTTAGCAACCAATATAGCTCATTTAATGCCCATTAACACAAATAACTATGCGAAAGTAACAAAACCAAAGTAATATAATATATAAACATATCGAAAGTAAATATAGAGCTCTTCTCTTTTCAAAATGTTTACACAATCACAATACTAGTATGATCATCTATCTGCCTAGCCTCTAAAGCTCCCCAACATGAAACCATAAGCTTTACTGGATTAATTACTCATTAACCTAAGCACACTTTTGATGTTAGAAACACCCAACTAAAGATAATCTATCCCACCTACGGACTATGGTTTTTCTCATTTTACATACTTGTGATAAAGGCATCATTGACTCCTAACCACACCCTAACGGGCACTAGGGAGTTGCTAGACTATCTAGATGTCCTATAGTAATGGTCTCAATATAATACTTTACCGGATTACTTATGGTAACAGCCCATATAATACTGCATTAAATGTCCTATAGTGCCAACTCGACCATATGGATTTGTTTACTTCCATCTCCACACACATAAATCTATACATACCTTGGGTGAACTCCTACCCACTGTGATCATGCTTTTTCACATAAGTTTCAGTGCTCTTTTAAATTTCTACATCATACACTTTTATACATAACATATATATATATATATATATATATCAATTTCATGCTAAACTTGTTTTCATAATAAACTCATGCATAAAACTTCATAAAACAATAATACATTTACTTCTACACAATTATATGAGCTAACAAACATAACATATTATATGGTTACTTCAACCCTTCTATTCAATAGAAAGGGTTACCCATGTTTCACAAGCCTATTCAAGCTTCTTTAGCTATTCAACTCGTCATACACAAGAATATACATAATTTAGGCACCTAGAGTCAATTACTCTATTAACTAAAAGTGCCAATTACAATAATTTAACACCTAATCACTATCACTTCTATAATTCATACTCATTCACTTGTTTTACAATTGATTACCACTCAATACAAGCTTTAACTCCCTCAAAATCAAATTCTCTCTCACTACTCTCTCTTTAGTTAAGTTAATTTGAGCCTACAGTTTCAAAGCTTTATCGTTCCGACTTAAACAAGTCACAAAGTACTAGTTTAGTCTTAAAGGACCTTTCTATTACTATAGGGTAAGAAATCATCACCTTAAAACTTCCAAATTCAATTTCTCAATAGTTTAAACTAAGAGAAAATAGGTTAGAATCGGAGGTTAAGATTGTACGAGACTTATTCGATAAGTAATAAGTTAGAAACATCATCTTTTCTCTTGAAAATCATTACCCCAACTAAGAACTCTCTCTTTTCTATGCCAAAATCCCTTCCTCTTTGTTTCCTTTCTATTTCTCATAAGTTGCCACGACCTCATTTATTAGAATTCTGTATCATGTGCCGCAGCGTATCTATCCTCTACCGTGGTGCATGACACAGTGAGGGTAATCCTCATTATGCTCACACGCTCTACTTCAGGATATCGTTCTTTCGCTCATACCTATTCATATAATATCCTAACTAGTCAAAACAACACTTCACTATCCAAAATTCTAATCCTACATTAAATTACTAATTTAATCCCTAATTAGTATTAATGTAGGAATTAAAAATTCAGGATGTTACACTCTCCACCTTATATTCTCATTATTTATTTTGACTGAATTTATAAGCTAACAACATAATAGGACCAAGTCCATATGACTAGACCAGCCTAATCTCACCAATTATAAGAGGCATCATCTGCCAAAGATGCCTTCACCTATTTTTAGGACTACATATTCCCCTTTTCTCAAATATCTAGAGTATCATATGCCCAATCTATGATCATGATAGTATTGGGACTTTCAAATAAGAAAAGTTAAGCACTGGAGCCTCCATAGTGCCAGTGTACCATATGGATTTTAAAAAATATGCCTCTACAACACTAGGATGAACTACCCTCTCACAATGATCATGCTCGTACAACATTAGTCATACATATCATACTCATAGGGATGATCATACAACAATTACTAGCATTTCAAACTCATATCTGATTTCATAGTTATCTACAACTAAACATAAATGGGTTTTAAACATAAAATAATACTTAGTTTAACACCACTTCACACAAGTTTTCAAAACACTAAACACTCAAATAAATAAATTACTAGTTTTCATAATAGATTTTACGCGCGCGCGCACTCTTTCATAAAACTCATAACCACCTAAATATATAAGTAAAAGGACTAGATTATCTTATTACCACAACCCTTTTGTCATAAAAAGGGTTACTATGGCAATTTAGTAACGCCTTAAGAGCCCACTGGCTTAACAAAGTTCAATCAATATTTAATCTATAAGAATAAACACAGATAATCAATTTTCAACTCTAAATAGCCCCTTTTTATCCTAAATTTGGGTACCTACACATCTCAAATTCCCTCTTCAACAAAATGCACACTCTTAACACATAACATTATCCTTATCTAGCATCTATAGATCTAGATATCACCTAAACACATCCTATATCATTGTCAATCTTTAAATTTTCACCTAGGATTCATCCAAACCCTAGCTAAAAATCCTAAATCACTATAAAATCCTTAAATCTAGGTTTAGAAACTTAATTTGACTCCCCAAGGTTCTATTTAAGCCAACAAGTTCAACTAAAACAACCCTATGACTGAAAACAACCATCAACCACACCATTAAACACTAAAAAAGCATGAAGGATGAAGATGAAGGATAAAGAAGGCTTACCAACAATAATTAAGCTCAAAATAATCCCAAAGTGGTGTTGAAGCCAAGCCCTAGCAAAGACAAGACAATCCCTCTTCATTTCCTCTTCCTTTCTTTCTTTCCTTTCTATCTGTGCATGCTCGACTTAACAAAATTCAAGTTCGTCCACTGCAGCGAATGGCACAACAAGGCCTAAAGAGTTTTAGGTCTAGTACTTGGGCCTAACTAAACTAAACATCAACCTAGTCTACTTCCATAACTATTTAAAGGTCTAAAAACCTTATTAGCAATTCAAAAATACCATTAATTCATTAATCACTCAAAATTTACTAATTTACCCATTTTAACACTTTAGAACTCAAGGTATGGAATTGAGGATGTTACACATAGTGATAAGACATATTATTTACACACATTTATTAGCAAATTAGGAGCATTTTACACATCAATTAAGCTTTCATATACATTCATATCACATTTTTAGTGTAAATTTGCCTAAGTATTGAATTACATGCATTAAGGGTATTTTGGTTATAAATGTACTTTTCACTAAAGTGATGTTAAGCTTGAGATTTATGTATTTTAATGGGAAAAAATAATTGGTCAAATTATTTCTTGTTGATTTATCCTTGGTTAGGAGTATTAGGAAGCAAAAACATTTTAAGGGTGTCTCCCTAAGGGTTTTCACTTAGCATTTGATTTTGGTTCAAGTATGTACTTGTCTACATTTGTGTCTTGTGAGGCTTTTATATTCATTTTCCTTTAGTCATTTTATTATTTTGCATGAATTAAATATTTTATCTTATTATAATTAAATAAATGTCAAACTATAGTTATTTGATCATTAAATTTAATTGTGACTTAAGTAAATTAATGTGATCATTAAAGATAGAATTCAAGGCAACCAAAGAAGGCTTTAAAAAGGAAATTTAGGCACGACATAAGCTAAACTAAGGAGGAGCAAATTAGGCTTGAAATGATGCATTATATTGGATCAAGTCTAGCTCTAGAATTGTCACCAATTTCCCTCCAAAATGCATGTTAGTTTC